TCATTATAAGATGTACAGATAGGAAAAACTGAACACTGTTAAAAATGTCACGACTCCAGATTATGAAGATGCCTTAGTGTTAAACTCGTTTCAAGTTAAAGATACAATTCTAAGTTAACTTAAGAAATTTTAGTAATTAACTTAGCCGAGTTGAATCTCTTGTGGTATGTTAATCAGCACAACTTACCCAACACATTACAGTTTGATTTACCCTTGGCAATCTCTGACTACCAATTAGAGACAGTCAGAGAGCCAAATACACCCACCCGTGCCATCCGCTGCCGATCCAGCCTCTCCCCCGGGAGGAGCTGGCAACAGATGCAGTTTGAACCACTCCAGGGAGGGAAGGCTACGAACCCCTCCGTTTTTTTCCCTCCAAGAACAAATCTCTGTTGTGTCTGGAAGCAGGAAAAGGTCCTAGGTAACCAAGTCTTGCCTTTTCATGCTTGTTTAGCCTAAATTAGTGTCCCAAGTGCCAAACCGTCGAACTCTGTTACCTGCATTAACAAACACGCTCTGCAACAACACACGCAGCATTCGAGCGCAAGGAGCAGACCTCAAGACTTGGTCTACCTGCCACAGCAAGGTAAAAACTTGCATGTAACTCATGAAGCACCTGCTCATAAGGGACAACTCTGCTCTAATCCACCATAAAAAAAATTCATTCTTAGCATCCTCAACTTATTTTTTGCACTTGCCATGGGAAGTTACACAACTCAGCAGAGATGTCACCAGATAGTCTCTCTAAACTGCAGGCTATCCGGTGAAAGTTCCACCTGTGGCTGGATAACTAAGAGATGTTCCTTAGCATGGATAAATGAGGAATGAACTCATGTTAGGAGTTGGAAAAGGAGTCAGTCTCCTCTGTCAACTCCATGTTCTAAGACACTAATTCCTGTCACTCTTAGCACTAATACTCTTTTTCCTTTTAAAATGACTGTAATGAGTTACTTGAAACATGCCAGGCTAAAATAAACTCCTGAAATAACAAAAAAGTTCCTTATCAGTGGTTGATCAGCATAACACACAATACAAACAGGGGGGACCATTTCCCCCTGAGCATACTTTTCACTAAGCCATAGCAAACAGCCATGACCATTTGTAACAGTTTTATTAGGAAGCATGAGATTAGACCAGCAGGACTTTGGGTTTATTTTGTACTTTATGGAAGAAAGAATTAAGTATACTTGGACATAAATCAAAAGCCCCCATAGCATCTTGGGCAGTATGTACCAGTACTGCATTACTGGCATAGTTAAAAAGCTTTCCCTAAGTCTTCCTTGCTACAAATTAAGCCAATTATATCCTGTCTTTCCCTTGAAGGGCACTGAAAACATCTGATCACTAGTTTTTTCTAAATCAGCTCTTGACATCCTTGATTTTCACCCCACCTCAATATTCTATTTGCTAAACTAAACCAAAGCATTATCTTCTGCATCTTATTTGTGTTTCCGTACTCTCCCATTTGTCTACAGTTTTCTCAAAAGCGTGGTGCCCAAAATTGGACACTTTATTCTTGCTGAAGCCCAATCAGAACCAAATATTCAGAACCGAGTAAGAAATTCCAGCATCCGACACCATATTCCTGCTACTACATCCACGAAGATGTATTTTTCTTGCATGCAAAACCAACACATGCTGTCGAGTTACCTCTTCTTGCAAAACACTCACCTCCATAACACTTTCAGAAAGAACACTGCCTGGTCACAGATTTCCCAGTGGCAGTAGTAAGTGGGAATTTTCATTCCTAAGCGTGGTGTTTCACCAGCATTTTAAAGCTCCAGGTTATTTCTCCAGCTTATGAAGATCTTTCTGAATTCAAATCCTGTCCTTTGCGATCACATTTCCTCCCAGCCTAGTGTCACTTGCAAGCAGAAATCAGTCATTGTGTAGTTGTTGATACGTTAAGAACATTCCAAAGGGAAAGCCTCATTCAAACCAGTAATGTTTTCTCCAATAAATAACGTCTTTGATGTCAGGAATCAGATTTCAATGCAATACTACACTACTTGCAGTGGTGGGTAACAGTGGCACACTACAGCAACACTGAAGCTACTACAGAGAGAGGCTGAGACTACAACTCCAGTAAAGCACAGCACAGTGCTTTACCAGCCACTCGTTTTCTACTACCCTGCCAGCATCCAAATCAGCAATATGCCACAAAAAGATGACTCTACGAAGGCTAAGTCATATCAGCATTAGAACAAAATTTGTATTGATAGACAAATAGATACTAATAGTGCTGTACAGTACCAGAGAATCCAGTCTAGTATTCAACAGGAATACAACACAGATACTCATTCAAAGGTCTATCTGATCCAAAAGACACTATCTTGTTGTATTGTGTTTCTATTGGAAATGTAATGGTACTACAAGTATATTACAGTATCACGGAAGAGATCTCCAAGGTTTTGCTGTTCTTCCTTACACAGCAAGCCCCAGTGGGCTGTTTAATAACAATGCATTAATTTACCTAGCCAATTTTCTTTTTCTACAATGAGTTTGCTTTTATTATATGCACATACTTAAGAATATGGGTTAATTAATGAAGAAAATTTGTATATTTATATTGAAGACTTGTTCTACAATTTCATTAGACTATTCAGCCTTCTCTAACCATTGTTCTTCCGTATGCGGGCATATGATCAAATAGAGAAATATTCTCAAAAATTATTTCAACACGGCTGAAGCGTGCAGAAGTTCCATTATCCATTCTGTAAATAAAACAATTCAAGCAATCTTGAATATTTATATAAATGTGTATTAACTTAGTCATTTGATATATGTCTGATTTTTCTGCTTCCAAGTGTGAGCCTTTTTATTGCATATTTGTAGATAGCTGCCAGCAAGACACAGCATCAGAGGATTTACAACTGTGAGGGTAGAATGCCATCTGCTGCTATACTTGCTGCTACAGCAGGATAGAACAGCAGAATCATATAAGTGCTGCCTTCTGCCTTTCTCTTAACTAAAACGTTTACAAACATCTCATTTTGTTTTATTAAAAATTAAAAAACCCCAAACAAACACCAAAACTGGGAGCTCAGATGCTTTTACACACAGCTTTTGTTATGAGATCTGGTAAAATAATGCGATATGGACCATGGGATTCTATCAATGCAAACGAGACGCTGTTGTATCAGCCCTACTAGAACAAAACAAAAAAGAAAGTGTAATTGACTCCAAACTAAATTATACAGGTAGATAATGCAATTAAACCACAAAAGAAAAGCACACTTTGAAAATGCATTTCCAATGAACTATGGAGCTGCTAGGCTGGGGCTAGAACTTAAAATCACCCCTTGAACTGTTACACACTATGAAAGCCTTGCAAAATTCCCACTTTCCCAGCCTGCTTACATACAAGGCACATGTCATAAGCAAAGGCAGTATACAGAATACGATATATTACCAGGATGATCTATGTCCACTTATCGGGGTGGGGGAAAAACCAAAACAATAAAACAAAACCACACAAACCAACACAAAACTTCTTTCTTAATATTCATCTTACATTTTTGCCCCATGTCCTTTCGGTAAAAGTTAATTCTTTCTGTTCAAAGTGCTCTTCAATAAATCAAATGGAAACATTAGCCTGCATTTTACTCAATAATTAACCATTTAACCTTCCACACACAACACAGTCACAGAGGCAGTCTCATGGTTATTCAAAACACATTGCTGAGCTGGATAAATTCATATGTATTGAATTCTGGTGTAGTTGGCAAACGTTCAAGTTTTACATTTTTTTCTACTGACAACACAGCTCCAGGTGATTAAGAGCAAATAATGCACTTCAGTTTGTTGCCCACTGCTTCACCCGCATACAAACGCTTCTTCCAGCTTTCTACAAGGATGGACATGAAAATGTCCATGAAAAGCTTGGGTATACAATCTCTTAAAACAATCTGTTATACCCAAATATATATACATTGATAGGGCTTCTCCACACAGTTACACCTCAGCTACTCAGAGCATAAGGTGAAATCGAAACCCTCAAAATTGGATAGAAAGAAAATATAAACTGGGAATTACAACTACTATGCAGTCACATTGCCTTTGAATTGCCATCAACAGGAGTTTTGCTAATGAAAAAAACAGGAGCATGAGTACATTTCTACCATGTACCTTCTGTTACGTAGCATTAGAGCAGTGCACCATATTTAAAAATAACAAATCAGCTTTGACAACTGAAAGGAACACAGTGCTTTCATGAAAAAGTAATTCAGTATAGTGTAAAACTTTATTTTTAATATTAAGTGAGGAACCATTCAATAAAGTTGACGCACAGTTCGAAGCTGAAGGGATAAAAGAATTCTTGAGATTGGGACCGTTCACCGGAAAGCAAGGAAAGAGTACTACACAAGTAAAACCAAATCTCAGTCACTGTCACAATTCTTGCTAAAGATTTGCTTGGGGCTCCAACAGAATTCTTTCAGTCTTTCTCAAGATCAATTGATCTCATCTTACTGACATTCTCTTTATAACATCTATATTATGACTGTCCCCTACAGTTAAGGTGAATTAACTGCTGCTTCTTCAAAAATGCATCTTACTTTTCCCTCTTCCCTATTTAAAATGCAGAAAAGCCAAGTAATGTGAAAAATACAGTGGAAACCACATAAATGAGTAACTGTCAAAAGAACAGAACTATTAAAAGAATAAATCTTGTGTACCCAGCTGTGAAATATAACACAATATAGCAGAACCCAGCTAAATGTTTGAAATAAAAAATTGAAATGCAAAGTAACCTAAAACTGTTTAATGAACATAGCTGTTAAAATATTAACTCCTTGCATGCCAAAAGTCAAGAGCACAAATGGTAGGAAGCCTGCTCAGATGAACACCACATTAATAAGTTATCTGTCTATCCATCCGTCTCTCCATCTAGACAGTCAACCACCAGTGAAGCTCAAGAGCTTTTGTGTGTAAGATATATTGGCAGATCAATTTCTGCACAGGCTTTATTTCAAATGTTGTGGTTTACAGCAAATATTTACCTTTGAGGTGTGCTGAAGCTGGTCTCCCACGTATGTTTTACGGAACTGATCCAAGAACCACAGAATGGCCAGTTCTACTTTTTCATTACTAGTCTGTGGTAACTGGGCATCCATCAAAGATATCAGCTGAAAAACTCTTAATGACAGGAAAAAAAAACATTTTCAGGAAGAATTCTCAAATTAGATTGTATTGTCACAGCTAATCTCTTTAGGAACCCATAAGCCATTTTTGTTTGCCTAAGTTTCTTCTAGGATTTTGTTTAGATGTTAATTATGTTAATTGACCACTAATAAACATAAACATCAACATAATGCTTTTCTAATTACTTTGTCACTTGAAATTTTCTCAGATACACATGTTATGCTGTGGTGAGTTTGTAAAATGTTTTTCTCTTTCTTAGAGCCTCAACTCCACAATTTAAAAAACAAAGACATTTGGGAAGCATGAGTCTCAAACTGCAAGTGTAAGATACAAGCTGTTCAAGTTCCCTGGAAATTGAAACTATTGAACTTAGAAATAAGTTTACATATGCAGTATATAATGCACTGTCTGCCTTGTTTCTTCCCACTTCTGTCTCTCCTAAAACATCTGAACAAACACGTATATTCTGACCTAAATCCCTACTTGGTATATATCTCCGTATTACCAGGACTGATTTCAAAGAATCAATTTCAGCCTATGTTAGCTAAGAAAATGTAATACTTTTTTTTTTTTTCTCCCAAGGAATATTTCTTCATTTAATTTCCCGTGTTCTTCTGTTATCTATTCCTTGAAATCCTAATTCCCTAGCAATTCAAAAAATTATTCTCACCTTTTGCCAATTCTGAAATATATAGTCACTGGATTAGACCTCAGTAGCTACTTCATCGCTAAGTCTGTATATTAAAACCTCTCACTTTTAATAAAAACATAGTGGAAGACTGCTAACACCACAGAGCCCCAGGGTAGATTAGGAAGGCAAGAAACAAAGAAGAAAGAATTGGATAAAAAGCTCTACACTAAGTTGTATACCCTTTTTCATGTGTTAGCTAGTGGATGCAAATAACAAGATCAAATATGCACAGCTTTAACATACTTGTGGGTGAAAACAAGGATTAAGGAAGTGTTTGCCACAAGGAATACATGTCATTCACAATAATCCCTAGCTCTCTCCTTGCCCTTAAACTGGCAGAAAGAAGGCTCTAGCATGCGTATCTTTAAATCTTTTTTATTCCAAGTCTAAAAATAAATCTAAATTTTCAATGGTTGACCAGCAATTCCTCTGCACTTCTTCACCTGCAATAATTAACGTCAAGAAAGTAGAGCAGAAAATGACAGCCATAACTCACAACTAATTAAATTAACACTTATATGTGCAAGTATAATGCACAAATGAAAACAAGTAGCTACACGGGCATATCTAAACACTGCTTATAGTAAGAGATGTAGTTGACTTAAATCCTCTTCCCTCCCCACGAAACATAGTTTTGAAATGATAGTCCTAATGACTTCTTCACTGCTCAGGAAGTGAAGAATGAGTCAGGAAATGATGAATTAGGAAAGATCAAAGCCAGTGGAATGGTCTCAATCCACAGAAAGTTAGACCAGTCCTTGAGCATCCACCATCCAAGAACTGGACAAAAACTAAGACATTTAAATTCAAAAGATCTGCTGATACTAAATGTCATTTAAAAAAAAAAATCAAAATAAAGGATTAAAACCAAGCAATACTTACCGACAGGATAATTCTCCATCCATGGCATCATGTTCATCAGTACTAGTGTATGTTAATCGTCCTCCCACAAAAGTACCCACAAAATAGACAAGCCATGCCAGACATCCTAACGTTAAAAATAAGGAAGAAGAGTTAATGATTATGCTAGTAAAACACACTTCCATAAAGTATCATCAGTCCTATAAGGTATCAGACTGTGGAACGCTGTCAAGAGAGTGGTTAGGTTTCTCTCTTCACCAGATTTAAAAGGTACCCAGATAAAGCAACTCACAAAAAGTTCTGAGCAGAACTGACGGATAAACTAGAACAGCCTATTAACCTGGACATGCTTAAAAATAAAACACGAAAGAATTAACCTAAAATACAAAGCATGCAAACTCAGCCTGATAAGACTAGTCAAGCAATTAATCTACTATCCTCACTTGTCTGCCACAAGATACTTCAAGGTATGGAACAGTTTTATCCACAGTGTGATCTATTTATCTATTTATCATAGCAATAGGAAGTAATTGAGACTGACTACAATCTACTCATTTCGTAGTGCTATTCCAAATAACGAATTCTTAGTAATATTAAACCGCTATCTAAAGTGATTTGCACATAAGAAAACATTTATGTTAGAAGTCAGACATATTCTTCAAGAAAAGAGTCTGTGAACTACCACATAGTTTTGAAAGTCTCTGTGGACTGTTTTCTAAAAGGGTCTGAAAGACAGAGCTCATCCATTTCAAGCCATGCTGTCATGCCTTCCCATCTTCCAGATTATTTAGCTGTCAGTTTCCACTAAAGCACTTAAAAGGATCCACTGGAAAAGTCCTTATCAAGGAAAGTACAATGTAAGGATCATGATTTCTGTAAAGCTAAGGTTCTATAAATAACTCCTTGAGTTTATGTCTGTAGTGTATTTTGTACAGATTTTCAAATACCGAAATCCCGCTTCATAAATATGGAACTCCTCAGTTTACAACCACTGAATCTGGGAGATTCTGTTGGCCTTGGTCTGCTGGAAAACCACTGCCATGCTGCAAAACCTGGGTTACTTTAATGTCTCTGGTACATTAAGGTGGACAATCTTTAAGTCTGACCTACTGATACCTACTCAAGCCACATAGGTTCCTACTTTAGCTTTTTAAGCTGTGAATCCAGTCACTAATTGTATCCTCTCTCAGGAAAGAGGCAGGATTTTTCCCTAAAGTAAGATCAAAACTAAGACCTGAATAGCAAAGTAACATATAGACCTGTTAAAACTTCACAATACCACTAAATGTTTCTCCCTCAACTGAAACGCACCGAGACTACAGAACAGTAAAGCTACTTTTAGACTCCATCTTCATTTGGCAAAATACACTTTGTAATAAATTAAAAGGAATTGCTTGAAAATAACAACACAGCAAAGACAACGTGGAAAAGTTTCCATGTAAACTAAATCAAGTTAGAAACAAGGTTTCTCAATAAGTGAGATATTTACATAAACTAGAAGATGTCTTGCCCTCATTACCAGGATTTTACCAAGCGACAAGAGTGTAACTTACAAGAGCGAAGACAATACTCTGATGAAGAAAGTGTCTTCCGAACACATTTTGAAGTTTAACATAAAGGATAAACTACAGATAAACAAATGAGGTCACATTATGACTGTGAAATGTATTTTATTTTGGATATTTCTATGTACACATCACAACACGCACAGTATCTACCAAAAGGCTTGAGCTTTTATTTCATATTTGTTTAAAATCTCTGAAAAACTATTCTTCTTTTACATAACATTAAACTTCACTTAATTTCCCCCGTTTTGCATTATTGGGTTTTGAAAAACCCGGAACTGAGATAGCACTGAATGCTCTACTTCCTAAGCTCCCTCAGCCAGGAATAATTAATAGTTCTGAGGTGCTCTAGTACCCTTATGACCTGAATCTGTTGACTACACATCCTGAATCTGTTGACTATATATCATAAGTAATTCCGTTTCAGTCAGAGGTATATAGTACAGTGTCTTTTATACATAAAAAAGATCATAGAATCATAGAATGGTTAGGGCTGGAAGGGACCTTCAAAGGTCATCTAGTCCAACCCCCCTGCAAGGAACAGGGATATCTCCAACTAGATCAGGTTGCTCAGGGCCTCGTCCAACCTGGCCTTGAACGTCTCCAGGGATGGAGCATCCACCACCTCTCTGGGCAACCTGTTCCAGTGTTCTACAACTCTCAAAAAAAAAAAAAAAAAAGATGCCGAGATCAAATATACATCAAGAGATAACGCAGAATATGGATTAACATGCAGATGATTTCAAACAGGTAGGAAAGGCACAGAAAAGCATTCAGGTTATCTTAAATCTCAGTCTTATTTTGAAAAAAAATATCACACAAATATGTAATACAGTCCGAGATCTGTAACAGAAAACAGTTTGTGACAAGGAACAAGATATCAGAGGAGGACTTCCAAATATCTCCTCATATTGTTCCTGTTCCATTCCTAATAATCTGGAAGGACAGTATCAGCTGTCCAACAACTAACGTATTTCCCTGTTCCGAAACCCGTGCTTCTTCACGAACGAGACACTTCCAAGGAAAGCCCCAGGCACGCTACATGTTGCAGCACAAACAGCTGTTAATTGAGGACACTAAGAGATGGCACCATCATTAGTAAAACACCAAGGAGCTGAAGTATCCAGGAGAACAGACGTTGCTGAAATGAATTCAGCATTAACAGCTACTAAAGAATGGCCATTTCAAGGTGGTATTAAAAAGCAACTGGGAAGTGGTGCTTGCTGGTTCAAAGAGCAAAGCCACCACTTTGGCTAATAATCTTTTTTAAAATAAAAACCCTTCTTCCTTTTTACAAATTCCAGTAGCTCATTTTTAAGTGCATAGCTATTTTTCTGCTGATAGTCCTCTTCTCTAGCACAATACCAATTAATAGGTATGACTTCTTTCCCCCTTTTACACCTTTACTACTTAAAATTTTCAGTGCATTTGCTTTTGCAATTACTGAGGCAGACAACATCTTTTCTTTTAGAAAATAATTATTGCTGTAATAATCTGTAATTATGGTTTATAACAGCAATAATCCCAAAGAAATCAGTCATTACCATAGATCACAAGTAATCATTAACTACTGTTAATGACCCATTTCTTGGGGATTATTGTTTTAGTAAACCATGACCGCATCACTATTGATACAGAGAGTGAGACAGTATAATAAAATGAGATCTTAATATTACATTAACTTATTTTGTAACATTAAAAGCCATTAAATATCTAAATTTAACCATGTATATCTAGGGAATATAACAGTTATTGTTCAATACGAGCACAAACGTTCAGTTTGCAGAAAAGAAACACAATATTTAAACTGCATCAAATGTTTTCCAATGCATAACAGCAATCCCCAGAGCACTGACACTGGACGACTCCAGCTGATTGTTTCCCTTTGGCCCTCCATGACTGAGGAATGGAGTATAAATTCAGACTGCAGCTGGTCACTGAAATCTGGTCATGAATGAAAGTTCTCCCAAATAAAAGTTGATAGGTGGACGGAAGAAAGTAGAATTAATAAAAAAGGTAGGAAGAAGGTCTTATATAAATTAGTGAAAAAATGGCTCCTACATGGAAGAAAACCAGTATATTCAAATTGTTAACAAAAGAAAAGCAAAATACATCACAAACATTTAATAGCATGCAGAGAAACAGCTGTATTATGCAGTAACCTGTCTCACCTTTTCAAAACAACACCATTTATCCATGTAAAGATGCAACAGCCATAAGATAACTATATTAGGAAAGAGCCAGCAGTTATAAAGACAATTTAAGTGAGACACAGAGAGGACCAAAATAGGTATACTAAAAAAAACAAACTATTTTTTATTGTTACAACTTACACCACAATAAATGAATTAAGTTTCTTGAAAATTAGGTAATTCATCTTAACAGAGCTGTATAAAATAAATTAAGGTTTTTAATGTTACATTAATTTTTACAGACAGCTAAATGCAAAAAGAACGAAAGTTAACATCTTCATTTGCAAAAAATGTTCATCAAGTTGCAGCTAGTTCCTGTGAGGGCACCTGAGGTACTAAAATGTTGATTTTCAGAAATTAAAAGTTTTTACAGCTCTCACGCCTATATTCTAAAGATGTAGCAAGATGTTAAAATAAACACATCAACTGCCAATGTATCCTATTTAACACACAGACAACTAGAGAAAGTGTGGTGCAAGGTGACTTGGATCATTAACTCCTAGTTTGAGAAAAGTTCTAGATATATCTGCCATAAGACCACCACTCTTTTTCATATACAAATATATGGTTATTGGCACATAAAACACGGTCTAAAAATTAAATTAAATACTAACCTTCCTGAACTGTGATTTGTACTGGATTCCTACTAGAAGAGTGCAATAGTTTTTGGTAGTTTTGTGCATTTTGGTCAAACAACTGTACTAGAAGTGTACAGGTCTTTTCGTATTCACACCTGCTAACTGTGCACAGTTGCTCCAGCTGTTGGAAAACTGTAGCTGTATCATCCAGTGGATCTTCTAAGCCATCTCTGGAACAGAGATTAAAAAGTAACCACTTAGCAACTCTAGCTTAAAAGCTGATGCTGTTTTCCCATCCAGCTCTTGAATCACTGTCACTGAACTGCTGAACTATAAAAGCCTTAGCAGATGGTGAACACAACAGAGAGACCTAAGATCTCATTTTATTTACATACATACCCATACACACCCACACAAACACAGAACAGTATTCTACTTGTGCCTTCCTCAACACCTATTTTAAAAAGCAAAGAAGAGAGGAGATGAGGTTGGCATTATGAACACAGAAAGGTAAATCCCAGAGAACTAAAGTCCATTGTGCCCTAACAGAATATTAACAAGTAGCATCTTGTAAGATGATGGGAGGAAAGAACAGAATACTTAGCAGAAATGGACTTTGCATATTCATCAAATTAAGTACAAGACCATGATACCAAAATTAACAAGCAAGTTTCAGTAAAATTCCTTGCAACAGCTTTTTAAATGTTTGTTTTTTCCTGCTGTAAAGAAGCTGTGACCCTCTGAAATGCCAGTAACAAAGAGACCAATAGACTTGTGCCATGAAGTGTAACTATACTCATTACACGAATCACAACGGGAAAGGTTTATTCATCAGAGTTACCCTTTTGTTGCACAGGCAACAACCTACAGATAAAGATAACATCCAGAAAGCTAACAAAGCTAACAGTGCTAACATTCAAACTTTGAAAGATACACAGCAGCTGAAAATTCTCATGTTCAAGATGGGCTGAAACAGACCTCTTCTCAGGTATTTACAAATATCTGAAATAAAAATTCTCCTTCCAGTTTGTAGAAAAGCCTGCTCTTGTAGATCCTTTGTAGAATAATCATTAGTTCCTCACTCACTCTTATTCAGAAGGGAGAACAGCTATTCAAATCCCCTAAAAGGGCTAAAGTGACTTTTCTTCGATTGTTCCAAAAACTTCTTTGTCTGAAGGACCAGCTGGATGGCTCCAGAATGGAGGGTGACGTTACCAACTATACTGCTTTGTAAGAAAAATGGTCATTGCAGAAAGCAGGATTTGTTTGCAAAGATATGAACTATCTCCTTGGAACAAACTGAAGAAGTCTTATGAAATCAGCTCCCAGACATCCCATGTTTTTCAAGAATGGTCTGGACATTTGATATTAAAGTCTACATTTGATATTACCATCTACAGAAATGCCACAACTGGGATCTTCATCACATAAGAGAATAAGACAATACCACAGCGGTATACAAACTGCTTAGCGCTAGGAACAGATACATGCCAACAGTATTACAAGACTGTCCTAAGAACGGTACACACTGGTAGAAAAGACCAACACTTTCCTCATCTTCTCCCTGTTGGCTTTTTTTCACAGATTAGAAAGCTTACTCCTCCGCAATGTAACAAGGACATCCAGAAAAATCTCCCATCAGTGTCAAAGAAAGAAATTGAATTTTCAGTGCTGATGGTGATGCTGATGAAGACAATAGCACATTTCAATGGCACCGGTCATGCCAGATGGTTATCCCAGAAGCTCAGCCCTACTGAGTGCTTCAAGCCTGAAAGCTGACAAAGAATGTACCACTCAATACAGAAGAAAGCTGGTTCAACCCTGAGATTCCATTACAGAAATGCTGAACAGGGAAGATAACTTAAAAATGCCAAAAGACATGTAGGCTGGTTGAGAGAAGACCCAAGAAAATTGACTGCACCTGCAATCAGCTGCTTGTCCTTCCCTGTCCTAGCACTGGAACACTGGAAGCTCCCCTAGGTACTATCAGTTCTTTTCCTGAGACAACGGTAGAGAAGCTCACGATTTTGAACCATTAGGAAGTCAGCCTTTAACATACCTACGGTGACAACATAAGGCAACTAAAACCAACCGTAGCTTTGCCACTGAACAGTAAAATGACAAGTTACATAATTTGTAGACATGAGATTATGGCTAAACTGAGACAAAAGGCCAACAGCGGTTGTTGTTGAATGCACTTCCTCACACAAACTCAACAAATGACATCTCAGTAATGTAAAACTGAAAAGGAAAAGCAGATGTGGCTTGTTCTGCAGTCCTGTAATCTGACAGGAGATCCTACCAGTAGAAATTCATAAAAGCCCTTGGAGAAAATGAAATCCTTTCAGCAATCTAAACACTTTTTTCTTATCTGCTATGTTATAGTGTAGACTATAAAGTCATTTACTTAAACTATTAAAAAGAAGATCTGAACTAAGAAATTTTAAATGGGCCAACTTCAACTTTGCCACTCTAGCTTGTTCTATTCAGTCACAATCTTTCTTGTGTGCAGAGTTCCTTCTGCTTTCCCCCATCACTCTACCCTCCATGGCCCTAGAAAGTGACTCATGGAGAAAACGTCACAGCTGAACAATACAGTTAATTTAGACAGTCTTAAAAAAGAGGAGGGAGAGGGGGGAAAATAGGCTGTTTTCAAAATACAAAGGCCCTTGAGAGGAAAAACAATTAGAATATACATTTGATTTTGGCCTGAATTTAATAAGCTAAAGGAGTAAAATGGTATCAGCCAATTAACATAATGGAAAGAAATCACCGTGGTAATCAGAACCAGCGTACTTAGATTTTAAACATAACCAAAACATAATATGCCAACAAATCAGAAAATTAAACATTCCGTATTAACAGTTTTAAAGTTGCAATTTCAAGTTTACCTTATAACTACAGGAACACTTTGCAGTCTAGAAGTAATATAAGCTTTTGTTATCTCGGGTGCATATGTATCTAAGAGGTGGGGTTCTGCCGTTTTCACAAAAGGCACAGATGCTACCATTCTTTGCCACAGAGTGAGCAAATAATGAACACTATTTGGAGCGAACTCCCAGTGCTATAAGAGAACAAAACATACTTCTGTTAAAGCATCCCAGTGTGAAATTTTAGTTGTGAAACATGATGCTTTTACGTTAAGTAGTCTTACTCATTCACATAACTACTGAAGGACCCAGTCAGAACTGAGACACGCTACGGCACACGTTATAGAGTAGATCCAGAATTACTTGTGGGCAATTTGTCTCCTTCAGGTGAAACCCAGGATTCAAAACTTGGAGCTAGGCCTGGATTCTTACACTGTGCATGGTGAGATTTAAGTGCTATAAAAGGGCCATTCAAAAATCCTAAATATTGAGTGGGAAACTGTCTAGAGCCACCTAACAGGAAACATAAAGAACAGAAATGCATCTCAAATATCTCTTCTCTTCCAAGCTTATGGAGCTGCCACTGGCAACTCAGGAATTCAAAGGCAAAAATCTTCTCTTAAAGGTCACTATTGTCAGCTGTTATTCTGAAGACCAGAGAGAGACTCTGGAGAAAGTGCTAAAATAACAATTGTAGTCTATTGTCAGCTGTTATTCTGAAGACCAGAGACTCCGGAGAAAGTGCTACAATAACAATTGTAGCATTACTCAAACAGTGTGCACACCTTTATCTTGGTGTGTTTCCAAAATAAATCTGTAAAATTTTTAACACTGTGAGAATCTTGATCCTGTGATGTGTGTTCTTCTTATACAGATGTGGGTCTCTCAAAAATTCAGACATTATTCCACATAGCTTATGAATTCAGCTCAGATGGAAACGTTGCACTCAGCAGCTCAGCATATAGGCAACTGCATGTGTCAGTGCCTCTATGTATGCACAACACCAGAACTCAAGAACCTAGTCAGTGCAGGCACTTCAAAGTTTACACAGGAGCATAGATTTAAGTATTTCAGGGTGGGATAAAGAGTTTAGTTTGCTGGATTTTTTTTTTGAAGGTGAGAACTAAAGCCAAAGGATTAACACTCATCTATCTCCTACTTCAGTTGTCATTTTCTTCTTTAAATCAGCTCCCATTACAAAATTTCATAGGAAGTGTGAGAACTAATTCTAGAAAATTTAGAAACCTGAGATACATCACTGACAAAATATATTTTTATGTAAAGACAAGCCCCTCACCACCTCCTCAAAAAACACCAACGCAGAGAACCAGGATCAGTCCTCTTTGTCAATCAAGAGCCAAAGAAAACAGAACACTTCTGTACAAATTCTTACCTGTAGGCTAGTGATAGTAAAATTTGCTATAAGTTGGATGACTTCTGGGTAATCTTTCACCATTACTAGCTCTCCTAGTTGATAGTTTGTCTTTAGCCGAGCCAAAAACCGACAGAATTCATGGTAATTACCCGGATCAGATAAACCCTAAATTTGAAGAAGCAAATTTTTAAAAGTTAACAGCTTAATCTAATAGAAATTTTATGAGCACCATTGCTAATTGGGTGACAATTTTATTTGCATAGGGGTTTAGCTTTGGTTTGAATAGAAAATCAAAGCAAATAGATGTCTGGCTGAAAGTGGTTGTGATAGATTCAGTAAATTAATGAAGATAGTAACTGGAAAAACAAATCCACAGCTGTTTTAGCATTTCAAATAAATAAAAAGAAAAATAAAAAGATACCTGCGGATTTTTAAGTATTGCTTTCACTCCTTTGATTAGATTACCAAGATACTTGGCGCGTTCTGGATTGCTGAATAAAGATCTCCTTGTAGAAGCAAACTGAACTAAACAAGAAAGTGCCTGAAGAACAAAAAAAATCACTGTAAGATCAAAAATATTTAAACTTTCAGAAAGATCATCTCTTAACGTTTGGAGCAATCCAACCTACTGCTGTCTGTAATACATTCTGTGGCTGAAGATTATTTTTGCAGAAATGTCTATACAATCAAGGAACACAAATACGGCTCAAGTTTTAAAATTCCAGTTTGCAACAGCTTCTGACTTGATCAAAATAATTAGGCGGATGTTTCCTATGTGGCTGAATAGTGCTGAATTGGGGGAAGGAGGATTTGAATGCTTTCAGATTCAGAAATGAAAACTGAGGCTGAAGTTCAAAGAAAAGACACGGTGACTGGGCACTGAGCCAGGGGTCTCATAACATGCTAATGCACAGAATAAAATAGGGTCTTCTGGACAAAGTATAGATATAAAAAGACTATTTTCTATAATTACTTGAGTGTAAATTACTGCGTGTCACTTACTAACTGAGACAGCATTGGTGGAAGGGAATGATACAAATCAAAAAACAGGTCCAAGGTCTCTGGCTCCAGGAAGACTACAAAAAAAGATAAGTTGGTTTTATCACTCTGTACAAGCAATAATTAAGTATCTTTATATCTATATATATAGATAGATATCTTTAATAGAATCATTTTCTTTTTAACAAAAACAATAAAAGTGAGATATCATCGTAGCTGAGAATAAACTACGAATAGATGCATTAATTAGTTCATTGCACAATGTTGAACAAAGCATCATTCTCTTTTTATCACACTTAATCTATCCCATAGGTCATAAAGAATACTTCTCTTAAACTGCAGAATATACAATACTTTGTCGCTTACAGAACGCTGTTCTGAAATAGATGTAGGTAAACTGATTTTTTCAGGTTACTACAGCAGTACACTAAGACAAGACAGGTTCTAGATACTAAGGATTAGTTGAGTCTGTATTTAAACAAAGGCAAGTTTGCCAAGAAGTAGGACAAATTAGCCTACAAGGAGCTCCATGCTGCTGGTGTTAAACTGCATCCATTACCCAAGGTACCTTCATTAAAGCTAGCCTGGACATGTTCATACGAGACCACCATCTGCACTGTATAAGCCCAGGAAGTCAATCCTCTCGAGTCTAAGAACCAAGATGCAACCCTTCTGCTGCCTTCATTAACAGGCTCACATACATGCAGACATGCTACAAATGCTACTTCTGCTGCCTTCATTAACAGGCTCACATACTAGAGCAAAGAAGCACACTAAAAAAAAATATTTCATACAGTTTCCTCATCAGGAAGAAAATGAGAAAACAGACATGCTACAAATGCTGTACCTATTCAAGGTGTTCACATGCCAGGGATGAGAACAGTATTCAGTGTCTAATTAGAATAATTTCATTTACTGTGACTATCTGTTATAGACTACATTTATTATTTCTGTCTGTAAAAGTAACAATAGGAAAAGTGTGAGAGAAATAGCAGAAGAGGTTTACCAACAACTCATCAGCAAAAAACTCTATGTCACATTAAAAATTATTTCCTGTTTGTGACTATTGTGACAAAAGTAGTTAACACAATCCACTGGGTATAGACTTCAGACTACAAACAGTTATGATCCTTTCTTACTTGTTCTCCAGTTTGTCGGAATCTGCACGGTGCACAGGTCATCTGCAGATTCGTCAGCTGAATTTCCAATGAAATCAAAATTAAGACAGTTTAGTACAAGCTTCAAAAGTTGCATTGCTAGACTTTGTTGCTGTTGGTCCTGAAGGGTTAAAGGTTTTGCCAAGAGCTAAGGAGAAAAGAAATCTTATTAGGTCACCCGCACAGAACATGCTTTAAAAGCAATTTTTAAAAGGAAAATGTTTGAGTATTGAACTGCAAAGTTCAGAGCAAGAGAATGCATACTAAAAGAAAAATAAATCCTTCAACTATAAATTTTCCCTAAAGGTAAGGGGGAAATCATCATTACCACCTCAGAGGCATCTTCCATCTCAAGCTAAAGCTTCCAGACTCATAAATAATTTTTAAAAGCCTGGTGAAATAATCCTTCTGATTGAAATACTTTTAGGTAAAACTCAGCATGCCACCAACACTGTCTGTTAAAAGAGTGCTAACATTCACTGCAAAAATTAAACTGTGAGGTTTCCTGTTTTTCAGTTACTCCAGACCAGCACGGAGCATACGTCATATGGGTAAAAAAAAAATCTCAACTGGTTATTTTTCAGTTTGACGTCCAGGCCGCTAAACAGTATGAGTTTCACAATATGCATACTCAAAAACTCTTCTCATACTCTCAAAAGCCTACAGAAATCTGGCACTAAAAAAAACCCAACCAAACAAAAAAAAAATCAATGAAATGAACAGTCTGTAATGAATGTAGCTATTTACAACACCTGTACCAATACAGCTGTCAGCATCTCTACTGCTTTATAACCCCTGTAGTGTCACAATAAAAAAGGCACTTTGTAAGCAAAACAAGCTGTTGGGATTTGGAAGTCTGTATTCAACATACTGGGTGTAAGAACACATTTTTACTGATTGTCTTCTGTAATTATAATAATGTAAATAACACTTTATCTTAAGCAAATTACTATCTCAAGATTACACACACAACAAAAAGGCACTAAAAAACCCAAACCCTGAATTCATTACACACTGATGCAGTTCATGATCATTAAAAAGAAAACTCAGATAATTTTGTCTGGGAAAACAGTAAAATAAATGCAAATACAACAACTTTACCTAGTTCATCTGCTCCTTATTTAGATTCAAAGTCGCATCTCAAGTTTATTAAAAAAAAGTTTTTATATTCAGATAACAGGAATTAAAATCAACTGTGTGTCATTAGATGCCTCATTAACTTGATAATAACTGTTGCACCACATTAGAATTGACACTAAATTTTGAATTTGGCTTTGAAATTGACATTGAATTTCTGTATGTATTGTATAAACATAACCTGTTGTGCCACGAATCCTCTCTGCAACTTTTAAACTCTGGGAATTATTTTAGTGATTCCACGTTTGTTAGATGAGTGTATTTTTCAGTGCATTATAGACACTGAAATATTTCTAAAACCAGCTTCCTATACTAAAGTTGGCATTATAAAGATACTAATCAAAATTTTCTTGTATTTCTATCTGAAAATCTGTGTGATGCCACTGAGAAAAACCTTTCAACATATGAGAGACTAAAAAAGTACCTGTGGAGTAGCTGAACTTGAAGAAAACTAGGAAGTAGCTTCCTCAGGGTACAAGTTCTCACAAATACATTTATTGTTTTGATGTGTAATGGGGTTTACTATATGCAAGATTCTTCCAAGAATATCCGATACTTTTTTAAATTCTATTTCTCCATTAATATGCAACTCTAACACTGATTTAAGACATCCTGTGTACATTAGCTGAGCATTCCCTCTTTAGAGTGAGGGCTTACACAATATATAGAGCAATTACTTAATTGCTCTATATATTAAAAAATATACTGCCTGTCACCTGAGCACTGGTAGCTGACCACATACCCTTTAAACTTACCACAAACGTGAGGTGAAACATGCTAGTTGGATTTAAAACAATACCGTGAAAGAAATTTAAGCTAACACAGTTTATCTCATTTTTTTACAGCAGTACCTCAATCATGTACCTCAACCTTGAGAATCATACCTTTAGTATGATCTATCACCAAAAAGTAATTGCTATCATTATCTACTGACCCACTTGTGATGGCAACTGTGTTTAACTTCTTAGCTTAAACACTCGTGTCCAACCTTCAACACCTAATTCATTTGGTTTTCAGAAAAACAGAGTAAACTAAAACTCCCAAATAAGTCCAAAAATAGAAAGCAGGCAACATTTAAAAAATAAGATGCTCTCAAAAGGAAAGAGTTGCTTGAGCTGAACAGAGGTAGAGTGATACCTTATGGTGCTGCTTCCACTGCTATGGAAGGCCTTGATCAACATGAAATGCAAAGTACAAATTCCAGCTTTGATCTCCGTTCAACCCACCTGGCACTGACAGCCCTAGCTTACAGCATGCTGTTCTTCACCACCTCCTGTCAAGGCTCTTGCGAGGCTGCAGCCTCGACCACCCCAAAACGTTACAGAGAGGATAAAGGAACCAGTGAAGGAGTAAAAAACTTGGCCAGATTTGACTGTGCTGTCATACCACAAGACAGAGAATTTGTCTTTCTTCTCAGTGGCTCCTTAGTTTAATAAATAATTCTTTTAGCCAACACTGAGATGGTAGGCCCAGCAAAACTGAGATACAATTAAATTAAGAAAAACATCAAAAAAAAAAAAAATCAGAATTTAGATAGTTCACCCTCTACGGCAAGATATAAAGAGAGAGATGGCACACAGAAAGACTGAGAGGAAGCAAGAGAGACATGGAGGGAGGAAGATTGGAATTTTTGTTGTTGAATGTTTTTTGGTCGCTTGAGCTTAACTGAGTGTCATGTAATCCACTTAAGTACAGAATTAATCAACTCAGAAAATACCAAGGACTCGAACTGGGACAATTATGTTAACAATTTAGGTTCAATTATAAAGAGCCTCACCTCCTTCAAAAGAGAGCACGCAAGCATCAGTATGTCCTTGAGAGAGGTGTCACGGAATGAGGTAGCTATTTTACGATGTTTTGCTGAAGGTCTTGAATAATCAACCTAAGAAAAGTTAGGACAGAATAAACAATGCTCCCTTCTTCGCTAAAACTAGATGATATGTTTATCTGGCAGATTAATTATTTGACACTAGAAATTAAAATTATGGTCCAGCACTAAACAAAGATCTTGACAGCTTCCTGAAGCACCTTTTTGACTAGATGATATGTTTATCTGGCAGATTAATTGACACTAGAAATTAAAATTATGGTCCAGCTCTAAACAAAGACCTTGATAGCTTCCTGAAGCAGCTTTTTTCCTTCAAGGTTGTCTCCCTGGGTGGAAAGGTCTGGGGCATTTCCTCAGGTTAAGATGTGGGCAACGGTAAGCCATTAGCAGAAATACAATTGAAAAAGTTGATCATTTGGTTTGCATTACTAGTTCTAGTGACTGCAATGAGAGAAAATTTAGCCCATAGCAGATCTGGTAGGTATCTGGTACAGGTAGAGTCCTTACTAAGAATTTCTTTTCTCTATATATATTTTGGAGAGGGGAGGAAGGTGCATTAATCCCTTCATGTCTAAGAAATGTTTCTCCAACCACTCTTACAAAGGGCAAGAAACATTCAACACACTGCTTTATCAGCAATACACACATCCCTTGCAGAAGAAAAAACAAAACAAAACAAAAACCATGCTTACTAGGTTCATTTCCTGAGTCAGTTCTGAGAGAATCATTACTCCTATTATATAATGGTCCACAGTGCCCTACAGAAAAAAAAACCAGATAGGATTGCTCAAACATCAGAGCTTGTATTTAGTATTTTCCAACATTTCCAGAATCAAGTTTTTAGGCTGAGATATCCTAAACTGTTTGGAAGGTTTTCAGGGCAAATTGTATCAACATTAATAGAACTAGACCTTCAAACTCTCTATTTAGCTCTGAAAAAAACCTCCTCATAAATTTTAAGAATTGCAGGATAATAAAAATCCATCTGAAAATAGACCTTAAGTTACTGCAATCTAGAAACTCACTATTACACATTTCTCAAAGGTCTGTTCAGTATTCTAGAACTGGTAAGGCAAGCTGCATGAAATTCAAACCATTAAAAAAAAATTAAGACATGCATGGATGAAAAAGCTGCCTATCAAAAAACCCTAATTCTTTTCCCCCCACTGTAGTATACAATGGAATGATATATTCCATCTCTGGGAACTTGTCTAGAAAGTGAGGCAGCAGGTGTCAAAGATTTGCATCGGAGAGTGCGACCAAATCATCAGTATTTAAGTTCCTTGGAATGCTTTGAAATTCAGATACAGTGCAGAATTTTGCATTAATTAATAACATTTAGCTGTCTTCACTGAGCTACTACAAAGCGTTTATAGAAAGATTAAATCTGCTTTGTTAGAAAGTATTAAAATCAACTGCAATTAGACCTTGCCATTGAGTCAAAGGGGAAGACTTCCGTGTGTACTTTCACAGCTGCAGTTTGCAGCCTCAGCTCCCCAGTGGCCAAAAAGCAACGTCGTCCTTGTCAAAATTCTCCTGGTATTTGTCACAACCACATTCATTTTCACTCATTTTATTTGGTTGAATACCAACCCAAATGCAATGAATGAAGAACCTGGCTACTTACCTAACTTTTCCCTGTCATCTAGTTTGTACTCATTTTATTTGGTTGAATACCAACCCAAATTCAATGAATGAAGATCTGGCTACTTACCTAACTTTTCACTGTCATCTAGTTTGTCTCGTTTGCACCAAAGCAAATCAAAAGTGCAAATTTCAGAGAACTCTCGGGCAAAATTTATGTTGTTGCCCCATCTGCATTCAGTAAGATCAAACATCTCACACTGTAATTTGAACAGAACTTCCTTCCATATTTCAAATTCTTAGAACAGTCTATAAGGATGTTCCTCAGTTCACACAAACCTGCGAGAACGAAAAATGCAACCTCCTTTTTCACAGGTGTGAAAAGCTGTGTGGTGAATTATGAAGGAGTTGGGAACAGAACTGCAGACCTCGCTGCTAATCTCTTTTCCTATATTAAATCACACTCAAATTCACACTGGATGAACTTCAATCTGGAATGCTAATGCATATGTATTTGAAACTAACATATGCTAATTATTAACTTAGATTAGTATTGTTTAGGGATTATTTTTTCAATTTTTATCTAAAATTTAATTCACTATGAGATCTATGGCTTAATTTTCTTTTCTACAGGAATTCTTAATTTAACTAAAGAAGTCTCTTAAGAAGCTAAATTTTGTATTTAAATCTCTGTTTTTAATGAACTACACAATGAAGAGTCACACTGCAATCATTTTAATAATAAATGCAAAATTCAATTACAGTACATTCATAAAAATAACTGCAAAATGGTGGTGAAGTATACTTGAGTTTTTTTCAATAACCAGAATATTGCAACTTATCTTTTATTAGACATTCCCAATGTAACTCAAAAAGTACATTAACTTGAACAGTATTATAAACAAATTAAGACTGAAAAACAAATGAGAAACTCATGTGCAAGAAAGAAGCTGCTACCTTCACATTTTCTTGTGGAGTTGCCAGCATCACCAACACATACAAGCACAATGGATCATTCTGGAAGTAAATCTCCAAATAGCTTAAATTTTCTGATTTTTTCTCAAAATAAGTACTAGGCTTTACGTTCACACAGACACTCAGAAAGATTAATCTGTATTAACTTTTTAAGTAGATTAGCCATCTCCCAGAAAACTTTTTAAGAACCTTTTTATACACATTAAATGTACGAAACAACCAAGCCTGGCTAATAAGCCATGACATCCAATAACTTTTTCCAAACTTATTTCACAGAAGATGCTGTGTATCCTTTATCTTCAGCTACTGTGTCTGACAGTACTTACTCCAGATTTGACACATAAATTTGCACAGTGAACAGTCTACAGTGAATGACTGCACTCTGACATTAAGAGAAATTATTTCCAATTTTCAAATACTATGTACCAAGATCACCTCTCTATCCTGTAACATATTTTCTTTGTAACAGTGACCAATGCAGCGGGGAACAGGAAATAATGTGGAAGGAAATGTAAATCAAGAACATTCCTGCCTCATCCAATTATTGGAGAGGGAATACGAGCAATCTTTCTGACCAAACTTCCCCATATCCCTACCTAGAATGCACAATTTTTGCATTATGTTAGATTTAAACAGATATGCTAAAACAGGTAAAGTTATAAAAACACTCTAAATCTATTATCTATCTCCTTGTACTGTACATCGTAATCCTAGGAGAGACAGAATGTCTTTTTTTTTTTCTTTTACTCCTCTTTACATGCATGGAGAAAGAACATACATATATGCAGGTATCTAAGTACCCGTTCACACAAATATGAATCACCAATTTCTCAAAGTGAAAAAGGAATGAGGCAAACAAGGACCACAATCACATAACAAATATATTCAGTATCTTGCAATTTTGTGTACCACAGTTCCATCTTTACACAAGCTTTCCTCAGTAACTTCAAAAGCAGAGGAATCTAGTGATTTCTGCTAAAAATTAAAGTGGAAGTGAAGTCCCACTGCTTATATAGAAAAGCAAAAATATAAGACCATAACAGTGAACACTCCAACAAATAGTTTATAAAGGTGTCTTTTTGATCAACCCTCCATGACCGGCATTTGAAAAAATACATGTGAACTAGTTCTAGAACTGAAGTTTGGCACAATTTTAGCAGTCATTACAAGCATCACAATCAGACTCATGCTTTAAAACATTTGACAATCTTACTTTTCAGATGGTGCAGTAGCAGTGTTTCTAACCAGGTAACTGCAGCTAACATTATCAGAAATGTATATCCATATCAGTGGAAAAAAAATTAAGGCATTAAATAGAATAGCTTGACAACAGAAGCTGGTGTTTTACAACCACACTATGAAAAAGTGCTTTAGAAAAAGAAAACCAACAAAAAAAAGGTGACATCAATATGAATACTGTGAGGCATCAAAACCCACAAACTCACACAGGTACCAAACTCGCCCTGGTTCTTCATTGTAGGGCAATCTTCTGTTTTAACCAATGCTCTTCACACTTTTTCCATGCAAGTTTTCAACAACTAAGTGACATACCGTATCAATCACTAAAAATGAAGAGGTCCAAACAGAAAAAAAAAATAGCAGAAGTGAACAATTGTCTCCTACCTGCAAAAATTTTTTTACATCAGTAATAATGTCTCTGAAGATGAGCTGATCTTTTAGCACCTCAAACCATCCTGATTTTGTAATTTTAGCAATGACTTGAACAAGAGCTTGGATGACAAAAGGAGCCAGTTTGGGTCGAGATGCTACATAGTTCAGAATGTAATTTCCTGTGAAGAAGCATTTTAAAATCAGCAACGCAAGTCTTCTGTAAAGTAAATTAATTAAATTATTCTAATAGAAACTGAAAGTATGGATTTTAAAAAAACCCATTATATTCTTATGGTTAGTACAGTAACTGTAATTTACGTTAAATCACTAAATACAGTTAAACATTCAGTAACACAAAGCACATTACATACATGATCATTATTCTAGGACACGTATGACAACAGTTTGTGAATTCAGAGAACACTGGTAGGTAAAACAGAGTCATTTTTCATTACAGTCCCATATACTGGGCACTGATGATTTCACTATGTAGCAGCAGCTCTCACAGCCAACGCAAGATACACAAAAGGTTTTCAGACAAGAGTCCCTACTGAACGTTCTCAATTCAATCTAGAACATCCCCATGGGTAATACACATTGCAGCTGCAGAAATTCCTCTCTAACTAGGAGGAAGTTAACCTGTTCTAAAAGCTGTTGAAATATATAAAATTAAAGTTGATTAAAGCTAATTCTTACCTAAAGGAACACTGAAATCTTTTATCAGAAGACTCAGATTCTCAGCCATGCATTTCAGAGTACTACTCTCCACAGAACTGACACAACGGTGCAGATTTTCTAACCATCCAAACTGAATCACACAGTCCTAGTGCAAAGCCTTTCACTGCTAAAGACCTAACACATACTCACTTACTCTTTCAGGATATAGCAATGACTTTAACATAGATCCTAAAAAGTAAGGAAAATTTTGTAGGCTAAGAACCTGCCCTGGCATGGTAAGAGCTAACCATGAGCGATGTTAAATGCAAGTGACTGGTGGGTGTACTAGCAATATCTGCAACTTTCATCCTTTACAAACATGAACTAAATATCTTTAGTGTCTTGTGGGATAAATACACAGTCTATCCTGAAAAATTAGGGTTTTTTTTAAATATGAAGTAATCTGAGCTAACATATTTATTTATTTTGAAACTAGGAAATGTTATTTCTGAGCTAATTGCAGAGAAATAATGAAAGCGCTCACAATCATCTTTATGTTCACTCTCTCACAATGACAACCTTATGAACAACAGGCTTGGTAAACGGAGAACTAGGAAGAAAACAGACTATCCACTGAATGGTTACTGTGCTAGCATGAAGTTTTAGATCCAATTAATAAAAAAAAAAAATATTAACCACAAACATTACTTACGAATGTCAATCCTTTGTTCAACAGGTAACGGAGACGCCCTGCTTACAAGCTTAGACAGGCACGTTGCTGCTAAAAGCTGAGCATAGGACGTCTACAAAAACATAACAAAAGATATTATTCAAAAATAGGCTAATTAAAGGCAAGGACAATAAGTCAATAACTGATAAATAATCAATAAGCCAGAGTGGTTTTGGTTATCTTTGTTAAGCATATCAAAAATTTGTGAAAGATGTATTTTAGTAATATCTTTGTTTCATTATAAACAAACATAAATTACAAAACACTAGTAAAATAGTGGAGACCTAAAAATATCATCCCTTTTGATGGAAACCATTCATCTAAAAGTAATCCCACTATTCAGTGGAGTAGTTTAGTTTTAAAACCTGTTCTCAAATCACTTGATAATTTAGAACCATGAGATGATTACCATGGGTCCAACCCTGGATTAAAGATATTTTCAAACGTGTTTCCTCTTTTCTTTTTGAATTATTTGAAAACCACAGCAAGAATTATACTGGACTTAGCTTGGACTATCCCATCAGAATCAACTCCCCTATCACTTTATCTAGAGTTGACCATGCTATTAAACACCGAAAATGAAACTGAGTAGTGGTAAGAGAATGGTTTAAACTAACAGACAACAGATAAGTAGTTTAAGGATTTTTTTTTTTAATACAATTTGTTTTCATTCTAGCTAATAGCTAGAAACAAGAACAAGGTGATGTTCAAACACCAGGTTATACCACATTGTGTCCTGACACTGCTCTACAGATGACACAAGCCCTGAATATAACCCTTCTGAAAGTACTGAAAGAGCTATTTCCCTTTTAGTCCCTGACATCTCTAATGAAAAGTACTGTCACTTCTACAAAGACCACCTCGAAACGAAAATCACTTATGAAACAGAGTATGTACAGAAAAGGGAAATGCATTTTGCCTTTATTGTACTGACATGGCAATGGCCCACGACTGAGAAATCACGTGAGCTTTCACAAGCATGATGACATCTATGGATAACACATCTTTCCTATACTCACCGTTCCTTGTTCTAATAGAAGTTGGCATTGGCTAAGACATTCTGGGCTATCAATAAGCTCCAAGACTACCTTCTCAGCTTGCATTCGCTGTGCTAGATCAGTTCCTTCATATAGGTGGTTACATAGTACTTCTAGTTCTGCCAGACTCTGTCAGGAAAGATCACAATTGAAACTTCCATGAAGACTTTTCAACCACATAAGGTTTCTTTAAGTGTTTATAAACCTAGCTACTATACCAGTAAAATGAACTGTTATCTATGCTAAGCTTTTCAGTTGATTCCATTTGAATTACCCAAAACTAGGAGGTTTTCTGTGACAAGAAGCCAAAAATAACTCTGAAAATCAAGTTGCCATTTCTTATTCTCTCAGCTATCGAAGCATTTTTCAATATGGCTCAATTAATCTGTTTTTCTCAGTCTTCAGATGGGAAGTCCATAGCTTTTCCAAAGAGAGATGAAAAGATGGAGAACAGTGAACAGTTTGAGCTATACTAGTTGGAAAACTTCTGGCAAATTTCATTCCAAAAGCTGTAATTACTCAAGTAATTACTTCACCTGAAAAAAAATTTCATTGTCTATATCTGTTGATGCAAATATCAGTGAAAGATCGGACAATTCAGAAGCTATAGCAGCAACAGAAGAGTTAAAATTCCTCTCCACTTAGAAGCTGCAAAAGTTCTCTTTGGTAAAGAAGGTGGTGGTGGTAGGGAATGTCTCTCTCCTATGTGAGGGATATAATTTATATCTACTAGTCCGTCTCACAGGAGAGATGAACTCTTTGAGCACATTTCAGAATCATTACACAAACATAAGTTTGAGCATCCACCAGGTTCCCAAAGCCTATGGAACTCTCATCAAGAACCAGCCACATCATTAGAAGGTTTCCAGTAAATATTTCCTTACTTGAGTGCAGCCTAGAAAAATGAGAACACACAGTATTTGACAGATCTCATTTAAAAGTTTGAGTTAAAATTCTGTTCATCAATCCCTCCAAAAATGTTTTGTACTTGAAATAAAAGATGTGATTCAGGACGATCTAGCACCACTTACACCATAGCTCAAATGCCTTTTAAAAATCCACGACAGTAATAGTGTCTTTGGCAACCAAAGTATATTTGGTTTTGTCAATCAAAGCATGTCATTTCCTAGCGACGTATTTTTCTTATAAAAAAAAATAATCATGGTCTTTTCCCATTTTGTTGTTGTTGAGCATATGGAACCCTTGGCTTTGATCAGCTTTTTCTGAATTTCAGTAATAACGACATTTTAAGTGTCCCTGATTTTCAGCCAAAAAGTAGCCACTTATTTTTCTTTTGGAGAAATTTTAAGAAATAGCACATTTGCTTCTGGAATGAACAGATCCAAATACCTCCAAGACTGAGCTCAACAGAGACATCCTTTAGTTTTGTTTCCCCATGCCCACAGAGAGGGGGGCGGAAATAAGGAACAGGTAGCAATCCCAGTAACGCAATTTTAAACGAAGCAAGATCCATGCCAATTCAAGTGAAAATTAAGACTCATAAAATGCAAGTGTACACATTAGGGAAAATACAATACAACACAAAACCCACATAACTGGAGTAAAACATGGGAATAAGGACATCCAGCAAAGAAAGTCCTCAGACAAATTACAACGCATCTTTCTACAATGAAACACTTCCAACACAACCTGAGAAGCATGAACCAAATTATCACGTCATAACCAGCAAAAGTTTAAGACTCTCCTTTATTTGCTCTGAAATTTGACTTTTAAGTCTGGACAAACTTGACAAGAAGTTTGAGAAAGTCCAGAACAAAACTGGGATATCAGCCCAATCACCAAAGTCTAAATCATCTGTGTACTAACTGGCATTAAAACAGCAAACCTCTGAAGGATACTGAGGGAAGCCCACCGCAAATTTTTAAAGCAAGCCTGAAAAAAAACTAAATAATAATCTTCAAAGAAAAGCTGGTTTATCAGATATTGAGACTGATGACCTTCAGCATTTTGAAATGCTTTATCTGGACACGTTTGGTCTCAGGAGAATGTTATGACAAAGTTTCTTATTGGTAGGTTTAAGGTACAGCCAGGAATTGCTGAGAATTCTCAGACTGCCAAAGAACTTGTCAGATGTTATCTGTGTTGTATTTTACGTGTAGCACTGAGGAAATGTGATGTTTTCCCTTGATTCTGACAGCAAAACCAAATAATACAACCTGAAATCAGCAAATACAACCATCTTGTGTATGACGGCAACTCAGCTAAGCAATACAGATATCAATCAACTTTATTAAGAAAAAAATACATGGAGAAGCCCATGAGAAGTCAAAAACTAGCCCTCTGTATTAGGTACAGATTTTCTTCAAGAAAACGGAAGGCTGTAACAAGCTCTTTTCTGTTGAGAGACAAAACATGTGAAACTGATGCCTTCAGATACCTGCTTTACCCAAATCCTTATCAATAGCTGAAAGGCGATTCCTAAGAAAACAGCAGTGTCAACGAAGAGGATCGAGCAGTGAGATGTTGGCTGCTTTAAGTGAGTCAGGAGGAGAAACAGACCTGTATAAGAAGTAGCATTTTCCATCACAAAGGACTGTAACTTTTTCCAAGAAACAGATTCACATCCTCATGAAAAAAAAGCTAGATACTGTGATTTTTTTTTTTTTTTCCTGTTTGTCCCACTTTCATAATATTCAAGAATAAGGTGAATAAAGTTCTTCAGATACTTCTGGTCCACCTCTCCAGCTCTCAGAAGTCCCTGGCAGCTCTCCTACTAGCCCGTGAACGAGCCAAGGGCCAGAAACGCTGGGGGCCCGGCTCCGCAGCAACCCACCAGGCAGGCGGCCAAGGAGCCCAGCAAACTGGCAGGAAACCAGGTAGGTTCCCGATTAAAGTTCTGCTGACACTGACAAATTCCCACAGACGTTTTGATTTTTTTAAACAGCATTTTCTGACTGAAAACATTCTATTAAGAAAATTCCACCAGATCTACGCAAGAGCAACAGGACAGGCAAAACTGCTGAAATGCCACAGTTTAGAAAGAGAAAAAAAGAAAACAGGAAAAAGCCATCTGGGTATGAGGTGATAACAAAAGATATTTTAGCGGTCCTTTTATGTAGCATGCCAGGTGCCCAAGTGTTTAAGTAAATGCCTAACATAGCCTCTCTAAGGCTGCCAAAGCCTTCTGCCACCGATCCGGTGGGACCGCGCAGGGGCTCGGGGTTACCGCTGAGCACCTCAGCAAGTGCCCCCGGGCCCTTCTCCCGCCCCCTCCGCTGTCGGAGACACAGTTTCCGCGGCTGA